GCAGCCGGGCTGGGACCCCCGGCCTGCCGGGTCCCTCGGGCCCCCCGGCCGGCATCCCGGGCGCACACACGCGCGAACGTGCACAGACGTGTGCGCACACCCGCACTCGCCCGCCTTCACGTGCGTTGGCACACCCGCGCTTGTACACGCGTGTGCACGCGCATAGTTTATGCGCTGCCCCGTGCCGGGGGCGGGCGGCGGGGGGGGCCGCCCCCCCCCCCCCCCCCCAGCTTACAGGGCAACTGAGGCACGGAGAGGGAAAGTGCCCCAGGACGGGGGGAGAGCCCAGGAGCCCGAAGCCTCATCCAGGCCCTCCGTGGTGCCCTGAGCCAAGGCGCCCGCACGAGGCACGGGGACAGGGATGGGGCAGGACAGGGGGTGGGCACACCGTCCCCATCCCATGTGCAGGCGTGTCCCCGAATGCGCCCGGCACAGCCCGTGCCCGGCGGGCAGACGTGTCACCCCGGACGCCTGGGCTCGGAGGCGAAGCCCGAGGGTGCTGGATTAGGTGGGGGCCCGGGGGGGGGATCCAGGCTCCAGGGCTCTTTCCCGGGGCTGGGTGCGGAGCGCGGGCTGGGGCCGCGGCTCCTGGGGTCGTTCCAGGGCTGCCAGGCCCAAGCTGCGCAAGCCGTGAGCAGATGCAAAGGGCTGCAGGCCGGACGCCAGGGCAGCGCTGGGCAGTGGTTATGGGGGGACACAGGATGCCTGGGTTCTGCCATCAGTGGTACGAGGGGGCTGTGCAGTGGTGACAGCAGGGAGGTGGGAGCCCGGATGCCTGGGTCCCCTACGCAGTGGCAGCACCGTGCAGTGGTTACAGCAGCAGGGCAGCGAGCTCCTGAGTGAGGGCCACGACCAGCCGCCCTGGTCCTGTGACACCCAGAGGCTGTGGCTGGGAGCGATGCTGCCTGGAGCCCCCCCGCGCCCTCCTCACGCCCGTCCTCCTCCCACGGCCACATCGCCTAGCAACTGACCCCGGCACTGTCTGTGCCAGCCGGCGCGGGCGCCTTGGCAACTGCTGCAGCTGGTCTCGGCTAAGGTTTCCTGGCGGGCGGCTGGGGGGTGACCATGGGCTGGGGGAGCTGAGACCCCCAGTCTCCAGCATGGGACATGCACTGTTTGCTTCAGCTCTGACCCCTCCAGCCTGGCACCCTGGGGGGTGTCTGGGGTCAGCCATAGCCAGGCTGGGGGGTGGCATCGGGCAGCACTGCCTCCCCCGTCCCCCACCTTCCCTGATATCGGCTTTGGTTTCTGGCCGCCCGGGTTGGTTTCAGTCCAGGCTGCCCTCGAGCAGGCACACGGCTCTCCATGCGTCCTGCAGGAGGCAGCCATGGGGCCGCGGTGGGATTGGTCCCCAGGGGTGGCAGGGGGAGTGAGGGGAAACTGAGGCATACCGCTGGCTGTCACACATCTGCATCTGGACTTCTAGCTGTGCCACAGCGTGGTGCCCTCATCCCGGTTCCCCTGTGGTCGCAATGTCTCTGCTGATCCCCACCTGCCACGGTCCCACAGAGGTCACCCCTCACCCCCACAGGCCTGCCGTGCCCAGGGTCAGGCAGGAGTGGGTAGCACTTGGCTCAGGAGCTGCCGCGGCCCCAGTGGGGACAGGGCCGGGGCTCTGGGAGAGATGCCTCCCCCTCCCCCGGTGCTGGTGGTTCCCGTGCACCCTGGGCAGGATCTGAACCCAGGACAGCTTGCTGTGGGTTGGGGAGTGCTTACAGCGGGGGGAGGCCTGGATGCCTGAGCTTTGTGCTTAGTGGCAGCCCAGTGCCATGGTTACAGCAGGGGGCAGGGAGCCCTGGGATCAACCCCCTCGGGCAAGGGCTGTGACCAGCTGCCCACCGGGGGCTCCTGCATCACCCAAAGGCCACGGCCATGATCGCTCACACCTCGGCAGCCATGAGCCCCCTGGCCACCCCCTCCCATGTCCACCCTCCTTGCCCAGGGAGGGCCCTGGCCCCCAGCCGGGGCTGCCCCTCTGCTGCTGCATCGTGACAGCTGCAAAGTCGTGTTCATCTCCTACCATGGGACAGGTGGCATCAGTGCCAGGCTTTGTGGTCAGCCCCGCACCTGGCACTGTGCGGGGAAGGAGGGGGAGACCTTCCAGGGTCCTAATCCCACTGATGCCACCTCACCCCACCCTGGCCATAGCAAGGCCCCGGCCGTACCCTCCTGCCATGACCGCCCTGCTGCTCCCCCCCAGCAGGGCAGCAAGGAGCGCTACCACTGGCAGGCGCAGGGGGTGCGGCAGAGCGGTGTGGACGACATGGTGCTGCTTCGCCGCGTCTCCGAGGATGCCATCGTGGAGAACCTGCGCCGGCGCTTCCTCGACGGCTACATCTTTGTATCCTCCCGGCCACAGCGCCTGCCCGGCCTCTGGATCCCCCCTCCCCTTCTCCCTGGGCCAGCAGGGGAATCACTGCACCCCTAGCGAGGGAAACTGAAGCATGGAGCTGGGACTCCAACCCAGGGTGCCTGCATCCCAGCTTGGGGCTCTGCCCACTAGGCCACGCTGCCCCTGGCTGGCTCTGGCCCCCTCTAGGCTTGCATGGTATCCTAGGCTGCTCCCTGCCATGCCTAGGGGGTGGCTGAGCAGCAGCCAAGGGGACACGGACCCCCGCAAATTGCTGGGATCCTGCTAGCGAGCTTGTGGGGGACATTTGGGCTTGTCCCAGCTCTCTTCCCACCACCGCTGGAGCCAGAGGAACCCTGGCAGCAGCAGGAGGTTGTTATCCTGGCACCAGAGCTGTTATTGCCCCATAGTGAGTGGCTTAAATACAATGGGGCTGTTTATGGGGATATGGGGGGGAGGATCCAGCCCCCTCCCTGTTGGCTCTGGCTGCTGCCCAGCCCTTAGCTGGCACCCCCAGACCTACATCGGACCAGTGCTGATCTCCATCAACCCCTTCCGGCAGCTGCCCTACTTCACCGACCGCGAGATCGACACGTACCAGGGCGCGGTGAGTCCCGTGGAGCCCGGGGGGGGGCATTGTCCTAGGGGTGCTGTTCCCAAACGATGGACCCTCTTCTGGGGCCCAAGCCCATGGGCTTCAGACTCCATCAACTGAGGTCGGGCGAGATGAGCTGAGCGTGAATGTCCTCATGGGTGCAGGGACCGTGGGCAGTGCCCAGCCCGAATGGGGCATTGTGTCTGATGTCACCAGCACTGACCCCCTTCCTGCATCTGGGGCTGGGGGCGAAGCCTTGACCCACCGAGGCAGGGAATATGGGGCCCAGCCCCCGCCCCCCACAATACGGGCAGGGCTCCGGGACCCTTGACGCATCCTGTCGAGGGCCTGGCCTGGCTCAGGTCCAGGGTGGGAGCGCAGGCATGGCGTGACGGGTGCCCCCCATGATGCAGGCGCCGTACGAGAACCCACCGCATGTCTACGCGCTGGCCGACAGCTCGTACCGCAACATGCTCATCGACCGCGAAAACCAGTGCATCATCATCAGGTACTGGTGGGCACACCTGGGGCTGCGGGAGGGTGAGCAGGGGGTACAGGGGGGAAGGGAGCTGGGTGGTTGCCCCCTCCCGGGCCTGGGGGGTTGGTGCCCTCCACAGTGGGAGTCATGTTAACCCTTGCCCTCCTGCCTTGCAGCGGGGAGAGCGGCGCGGGCAAGACCGTGGCAGCCAAGTACATCATGAGCTACATCTCCAGGGTGTCTGGCGGGGGCCCCAAAGTGCAGGTACCGCCAGGCCCCCCAGCGCTGGCTCCCAGCCGCCCCCCACAATGCGCTGCAGCCCTCACCAGGAGACCCAAGAGCATCATGGGAGATGTAGTTGGAGCAGGGCACGGCCCCACTCCCAGCCCTAACTCTGCCTAGGGCAATGACGGCTCTTCCCAGGCTCGGTAGCAACCTGGTGCCATCCTGTCCCCAGGCAGCAGGTCCTGGGGGCTCACCCTGCTCAGGCGGTGGGCGCTTTGGCAGGTGTAAGGTCCAGGCCTTGTTCCCTGGCGGGCTTGGGGCATGGGGCACAGATTGGGCTCTGGGGGGGGAGGCTGGATCTGAAAGGCATTGTGGGGGCAGGCATGTAGGCATCTTCTCCCAGGGCGTCCATCCCCAGGCTGCCCCCCATGTGCTGGGGTGGGGAGCCGGGCATCCTGGTGGGGATCTATGGGGGGCTCTGACAGGTGCCCCCACCCTCCAGCATGTCAAGGACATCATCCTCAAGTCCAACCCGCTGCTGGAGGCCTTCGGGAATGCCAAGACCGTGCGCAACAACAACTCCAGTCGCTTTGTGAGTGCCCCCTGCCCGGCACCCCCTGCCCCCCGCCACGCCAGCCCCCACCCATTGCTTCCAGGGGCTTTGCGAGTCCAGCCTCCCTGCCCCACACCCATCGGCCTCGCCTGCATCTTATGGGGAAACTGAGGCACTGCCATCAGTGGTGGAGCAGGGAGCAGCCTGTAGCCACTGGACCCCCCTGGATGGAGCCCAGGTGTCCTCACTGCCCCCAGCTCCCTGCTGCCCTGGGGACAGACCCCAGGCGTCCTGGCTTGTCTGATGGCTGAGGGGGGAGGGCTCGAGTTAGCCCTTTGCTGCGCGGGGTGTTGCTGTCTGAGCACCTTCCTGCAGCACTGCTGGGTCTCTGTGGGGTCCCGGCTCACAGCCCCCCTCCCCAGGGCAAATACTTTGAGATCCAGTTCAGCCAGGGCGGGGAGCCCGACGGCGGCCGCATCTCCAACTTCCTGCTGGAGAAGTCACGGGTCGTGAGCCAGAACCCGGGAGAGAGGAACTTCCACATCTACTACCAGGTGGGGCTGGGGGATCTGCGCACAGCTGGGGCACATCTGGGGGTCTGGGGCATGGCGGAGGAGCACGGCTGGGGGGACCTGTCCCCTGCTGGCACATGACTCCCCCCGTCTGCGTCCCTGTCCCCAGCTGCTGGCGGGCGCCTCCCCAGAGCAGCGGGAGAACCTGGGCATCACCACGCCCGACTACTACTACTACCTCAACCAGGCGGCCGCCTACACTGCCGACGACGTGGACGACCGGCGGGACTTCGATGAGACCCTGGTACGGCCCCTCTTGGGAGATCAGCTTCCCCCCGCCCCGTGCCCGTGCTGCCCCCGGCACAGCTGGGGACCCCCCCTTCTCCCCTTGGCTGCATCACGAGCCCCCCACACTCTGCCCCCGCAGACGGCCATGGACGTGGTGGGCCTGAGCGGGGAGGAGCAGGCGCTGGTGCTGCAGATCGTGGCCGGGATCCTGCACCTGGGCAACGTCGGCTTCCGGGATGCCGACAACTACGCTGCCGTGGAGAGCGAGGACTGTGAGGGGCTCCCCCATCCTCCTCCCTCCATCCTCTCCCTCAGGGGAGGAGGGTCCCATGGGCCGGGGTGGGGGCACATCCCCTGAGCATGCTGGGTGGGCCCCATTGGGAAGCCGGCTGCTGGAATGGGGGGGGCAGGGGGAAACCGAGGCAGGGAGCAGTGCCTTGCCCCCACCCCGTCCCCCTCTGCCCCCCAGTCCTGGCCTTCCCTGCCTACCTGCTGGGCGTGGAGCAGAGCCGGCTGCGGGAGAAGCTGACGAGCCGCAAGCTGGACGGCCGGTGGGGGGGCCGCTGCGAGGTCATCGCTGTGACCCTCAACGCGCAGCAGGCCAGCTTCAGCCGCGACGCCCTGGCCAAGGCCCTGCACGCCCGCCTCTTTGACTACCTCATTGACGTGAGTCCCATGCGCCCCCCCTGCCCGCCCTGCGCCCCTGGTGGGCACCTTGGACCCCCCCACTGCATGCCCAGCCTCATGGGGGCACCTCGCACCTTCATCACATGCTATATCCTATGCGGCCTCCAGACTCCACCTCCACCACGTGCCCAGCCCGGGGGAAGCCCTTAGATCCCCCCAACCTGCTCCTGGCCCCTGGAGGGACCCCGAGACCCCCGCTACCACGTTGTGCCCAGCTCCCTGCTCCCCCTGGGGCATCATCCATGGGATCCCCCCACCCAGCCCCAGCCCCAGATCAGGGGCTCCAGCCCCCGGCACGTGCAGCCCGGCCTGTACCCCCCCAGACTTGGTGCCTCCGTCCCCAGGCCGTGAACAGGGCCATGCAGAAGGCGCGGGAGGAGCACAGCCTGGGCGTGCTCGACATCTACGGCTTTGAGATCTTCCAGGTGAGGCCGGGCTGGGGGGTCTTCGGCCCCTTTGAGACCCATGTATGGTACTTCCCCCCCATGCCCCATCCGAACCCGGGGCCTGACGGGTCTGTCTGTCGGCCTGCGGGTCCGTGCGTGTCGGCGCGTCCGTCCCGCCGCAGAAGAACGGCTTCGAGCAGTTCTGCATCAACTTCGTCAACGAGAAACTGCAGCAGATTTTCATCGAGCTGACGCTGAAGGCGGAGCAGGTGGGGCCGGGAGGGGGCGAGCGGGGCCACTTCACAGGTGGCCAAACTGAGGCACGGGGTAGTGGCTGCATAAATGGTGGAGGGACAGGAGCCCGGTGTCCCGCCGCAGAGCTCTCGCGTGGCGCGGGGTGGGGGCAGGGGAGGGGGAAACGCCCCGGCCCCCGCCGCCCGCTCACAGCGCCCCCCGCAGGAGGAGTACGTGCAGGAGGGCGTCCGCTGGAGCCCCATCGACTACTTCAACAACAAGATCGTCTGCGACCTCATCGAGAGCAAAGTGGTGAGTGACGGGGGGTGGGGCCCCTGCAAGCCCCGCCCCTGCAACCCTGGGGGTCCTCCTACATGGGGCAGCCCCGCCCACACCAGGCTGGGGGTGGGGGTTGGGTGTATGGGGGGGTCTCCAAGTCCCATCCCCACAATGCCGGGGGTCTTGGGCATGTCATGGGGGGCGGCGTGTCTCCAAGCCCCGCCCCCATGGTGTGGGGGTCCTGGGTGTATCAAGGGGGTTGGGCCCTTCCAAGCCCCACCTCCACAATGCTGGGGGCCCGTGTTATGGGGTGCAGCCTCTCCAAGCCCCGCCCCCACTGGGCTGGGGGTCCTGCTGTGCCTGGAGGTGGGTCTCCCCAAGCCCCGCCCCTAAAATGTTGGGGGTGGGGCCTCTCCAAGCCCCACCTCGAGGGTGCAGGGGGCTCCCGCAGGTATGGGTGACACCTGTCCTGGTCTGGAGGGGGAGATAGGGGCCTAGATGCAGCCCCCCCTGCCCCTTTGGTGCCCCCGACATGGCTGCAGCAGGGCACTGGGCACCGTTTCCCCCCCAGAACCCGCCAGGGGTGCTGAGCGTCCTGG